TTCTCTCCACGCAATGTTCAAAAGGGGGGGAGGGACTGATTATGGGTTGATTCGTTATTGTATTCAACATGGTGGGCGGTAAAGAATATCTTTTACCGAGCTCAAAAGCTTTGTGCAAGCAAAGACTTCTGTACTAAATAACCTATCAAAGTTTGTTGAATTGAGGATCCACCCCGGAAAGTCGAAGTTCCTGAGGACATGCACCTCGAAAGGAGCAGATCCCAATAGAAGGAAGTGCACTAGAAGACGTTGAATTTTTTTGCTATCATGGGAGTATAATTGACAGAGAGGGAGGAACAAATTCTAATATAAAGTCCCGCGTTGGAAAAGCACAGGCTGCTATCATATCTTTGAACAGGATACGGAAAAACCAGAGATATCTCATTTCGAACAAAGCTGAGGATTTCCAATTCAAATGTGAAGTCAGACCTGTTATTTGGATGTGAGACATGGAACGCATCTCAGACTTGCAATAAAGAGGATCCTGGTTTTCTTGAACAAGTGCTTAAGAAAGTTACTGAGGATCAGATGAAGAGATGGGGTCACCGACGAAGAAGTGTTAAGGAAAACAAGACAGGTCCCAGTCAGAGATGAGGTAGGAAGAATGCAGTGACGATGGATTGGGTATACTCTCCGGAAGTCTGGCAGCTGCATAACAAAGAAAGTGTTGGATTGGAATCCACAGGGTAAACGATCAAAGGGAAGACCGCGCGGAACCTGGAGAAGAATCACAGAAATTGATGTACAGAAAAGTGGGAAGACATGGAATAACATCAAGAGGCTAGCTCAGGATAGAGAAAGATGGAAACTGTTTGTCCGTGGCCTGTACCCTGGTGCAGGGTGAGAAAGGCAAAAACGATGACTCAAAAGCTTCAACAATTTAAAAGGCAGTTTTACCTTCTTTTTGGTTCAACAACACATCCTTGCCTGCTTGACCAATGTCCAAACCTTTTTTCCACCAAGTTAGGCAACTCTACACAATGTAGGTGCTTTTTAGTGATTGGACATCACTGGTTGCAGTTTATCCTTTTGAAAAATCAGTTGGGTCAAACAGTCTCTGCCACGACATATAAAATGTAACAGAAAATAACTTTTTTTTACGCAGAGTACGTAAAAAATATTTTTATCTTAGCTTCTGTTCAGAATTGAGCTTCAATATTGCACAAGTGAGTGGAAGAGACATGCCATATCCATGACATAAAAATAATTGGTCGATATAATAATACATGTAATTTCATTTTCTTTCTTTTTTTCTCTTTTCTTTTTTTTTCTTTTTTTTTGTCCAAATTTCTACAATTTTCTTTTCAAAGTCCCATTTACAATTCATTGTACGCTAAATCTGACTCACCATTAATTTCCCTAGATCTCCAAAGATTTAGCCATGTAAAGAAAACGAGGTAAAGTGGGGGGAAATGTGTCTACAAAATGAAATGTAATAGGCCTTTAATTGATGTTCGTTTTTTGAATGTCGTAACTTTTTCAACTCATCTATTCATATTTGTATGTCTCCAAAAGGTTGCTGCTTGGAGACAGTAGGTATTTTATCCTTTGTTTTGACTATGTGACTTTGGCTTTTGCGCCATATGAGCTTGATTTTAGTGTCAGTTTTAAAAACTTAACTAGTAACTAGAAGAAATCTGTTAAAGAATTTGAATAATGTATCCTTCTGGGTTGTTGGCTGTTGGACTGTAGATATGAAACACAATGTAGATATTCAGTGTAGGCTCGGTGTACTTAATATTATACAGTTTTATATTATTATTATTATT